AAGAAATGACAGAAAGGAGTTTGTGCTTCTGGAGAGTTTTTTTTATCACAGTTCATGAAAGTGGTGAAGAGTGTCAGTCATTTGCATTCATTTGTGGAATAAATAAGTGCATGTGTGGTTTGTGGTGGAAGATGTAAAAACAAAAACAGTGGATGAAAATCAAAACCAAACAGAAACCGCACAAACAATCTGTTGAAGCACTGATGGTCTCGAGGCCTCAGACTTCTCCAACCAACAACCAGTCAAACAGTCCGAAAAAGAGCAGGGTCTGTCAAGACATTTATTATCATTATTACCCTTCATTTCCTCCGATGGTGATCCCCATAAAATGAAAAGGAATAACACAACATAACATGAGACTTCAGCAGACACCAGCAGATTACTGAGATGGTAATATGAAGAGCTTCGGGCTTCACATTTGTTGAACGCAGGGGCAAATGTTTTGGAAGTCGCTTAAAGCTGCACGTCTCTTTTAAAGCACACAGCAGTTTTGTTTTCACGGCAGCTTAAGAAACGTCCCGATGCATGGAACATTATTCAAATCCAACCTCAAAACTCAGCTTCACAACAGCTGCAAATGGGACAGTGGAGCATCCGTCACTGTAAAGGACAAAAACGCTAAAATTTTTGAAATTAATGATGGACCGTAACCAAAGCTGGTTTCATGGCACCACGGCTGGCGTCATTCATCACTTCAAAGATCCACTTAATGCATCGCTCAGGTCTGATCAAAGCTCGGAATATAAAAAGAAAGATGTGAGGATTTTGGGGCTTTGCAGATCGTACCCTCTAAAGAACAGTAAAAGGGAAATGATGACTTTAGTTGCCAAACTGGAAGCAACATAGTGTGAGAACAAATGGCGAACAGTGTTGAAATGGAAGAAGACTCTTCCCCTTGCAGTGGGGCCCTTAGAGGAGGGGGGGGGGGGGCTTTCCTTGACCCCTGGGGACCCCCCTTGACCTCGTCCACAGAATTACTGCACGACAGTGTGTGGATCCTCTTGGCTTTTAGTGTCTGGAGGGAGAATGTGGTGAGGAACCAGAGGTAAAGGTCCTATTGAGCCTCTGCACCATTAACACCATAAATCACCCGGCGTATGCAAGAATCTCAGGAATCCAGCACTGTCTGGTCCTTCTTCCTCACAGCCCCCTCTCTCTATCTCTCTCTCTCTGAGCAAACATATCTGGAGGAGAAAAACTTTTCCTCACTTCGGTTCATTCTCTCCCTCTCTCTTGCCCTTTATTGCGTTTCTCTTAAATTACTTGACTGTCACCACCTCTGTGATACAGATGTGGTGAGGACCTCACTTTATTTTATTTAACATTTCCACAGAGTTATAGCGGCTATATCGCTCCCCTGACACTATCCGAGACCTGCTGCAAATGGTGTCAAATATTTACTAAAGGACAGCTGATCCAGAGACTGATTAGGTCATGAATTAGGAGCAGGAAATCGTTCTATCCAGGATCACGAGGGGGATCTGCTTCCTCCTTACCTCCCTCATTTCAGGGCTGTCAGTGGTCCTCTGCGACAACTCATTTACAGTAAGGCCACTGATATAAAACTGTCAGCATGTCCCAAACTTTGCTGAGAATATTGATACTGTGGCAGTGAGAGGGTTTGCTCCTTCATCATGAAAGCGGCTGTCTTTATTTGATGTGTAAAACTGTTGAGACCCAAGAGAACCTGTGACCTACTTCTGTCAAATAAATGCATGAATCCCCAAGTGGGTAATTTAGCTCGGTGAGTTGAAAATGTTCAAATCAAAATAGGGAAATAGGAAAATAACATTTCCACTACAGGGTTCATAACTTAAGAATCCACGTGTCACAAAGACACAGAATCATTCACTCAGAGTGTCCACATTGTTCTTTAAGATAATATGTTGTCGTAAGTAATTGAACCTCACTGGTCTGTTGTAGCCTATGGGCTGCTGGAAGGGCTTTTAACCTACACAACTAACATGCCCCCTGAGAGCAAGGCCAGCCCCGACTTGCAGCACTACAATTTGGCTATTGAAAAGGCAGGGGCTGGGGAGGAGGAGGCAGGAGATCTTGTCATGGTGCCCAGTGGGTTCAGAGCTTGTGGTTGGAGTGCTGGAAAGACTGCCTTGTCTCTGTGATTAATGGTGGGGAACTCAGAGGCAGGAGAGGGAGAGGCTTATGTGGCAAGACTGTGCAACATGAATGCACAATACTATTGAGTTTTCAATGAATCTAAAGCATGCTGTCATTTAATTACACAGTCTTTCTCTCTTTTATTTTTTCACCGTTCAGGCCGAATCCAGGAATTTCTTAATTATGAAATAGTGCAGGAGAAAAAAAAATGTTTTAATTAGCGATGAACAGCGTAAACAATATTTTCCCAAATGCATTTATTAAGCATGTACAGTTCGTGACATCTCAATTAATCAAGAATAGTATCAAAGACTTCCACATCCTTTAATGGCTTTAACAAAAATATAACATCATTCAATAGGAACATTACTCTGTCCGTTTCACAGTTAAAACATTTTTACACAAATACTATTTACAGCATAAATAATGAACCAGAGGCACTAAAAAATATATGACAAACACTTAACTATTATCTTCAAACAGGGAAGTATAAAGCTCGCTCATAGTATAAGTTCCACATGCAAAACAATACAAATGTAACATCCAGAAAAACATATAACTACTGATTCCTTAAATGTCTTGTGCATGCAATGTACATGCAAAATGAGACGCAGGTTTGAAGAGCTGCAGTCGTCTCTCACAGTGCCTGAGAAACACGGATGGTATCACTGTAGCTCTCCTTTAATTAAGATATGTCCGCAGAGTTTAATTAAAATGCTTCATGACTGGGTGTGTTGAAGGGATTTCAGCCTGGCAACGCTAATCACACGTCCTCCAGTCTCTCATAACTAAGTGAAAGTGGACGTATCATTGAGATTTTGATGAGCACAGGAGGGACAGCCATTATGGGGCCCTAGGGCCAGTTTGAAATGCCAGCATGGTGAAGGCTATCGACGGCCATACAGGAGAGTGGTGGACCATTTGCAACAGATGGAAATATACAACTCAGATGGGGAGGGTCTGCCGGGTGAACACACTGACCGCTGCTGCCGTCACTGTGAGAGACAATGAGGGAGGAGGACACAGGAGCATAATCCATGAAGTGCAGGTCTGAGGAAGAGGACGTTCTGACGGCACATGCACCAGGGAACCTCTGCTGATCTGCACACGAGCTGGAGCTGGAGGAAGGGCGGCAGGGAGACCGCTGGGACACACCCAACATCTTTCCATACTTGCACTCCTTCTTGTACTTCATCCTGCGGTTCTGAAACCAGATCTTGACTTGGCGATCGGTGAGCTGCAGCCCGGCGGCCATCTCCAGCCTCCGGGAACGACGCAGGTAAGGGTTGAAGTGGAACTCCTTCTCCAGCTCCACCAGCTGGCTGTTAGTGAAGGCCGTTCTCTCCTTCCTCAGGCCAGGTCTGCCTCTGTGTGGTGGACCAGGAGCCACACCGCCGCCGACTACTGCTGGAGGAAGCACATAAAGAGGGTGTTAAAAGCAGCTGCCACATATCTGACAAGTCTGACCTGAGATGCATAACCCCCCACGTGGAGGACTTCATGTGCCAATAAGGACCACGTTAATCCTCAACCAATCAACCTGAGACCATAGGGCCCTCAGCCCTTCCTGTGTATTCACTCATGCTTGAGACACTGTACAAGACTGGCTGTCTACTGTGTCATGTGTTCAGGGAAAGTTACCACCCGAAGAAACAGTCTGGGGGAAACATCTGACGCCACTACGGCTGCCTGACAGGCCACATTAATCACAGCTACACACGGAAGCAGGCCTGTCAAATCCCCATCTCAGTCACTTAAAAGGTACCATGGGACCATACCACTGAAAATAACCACCATTAGAGATTCCATTTGACATGTATATCAGCGATAGCAGGGGCCTGTTAATAACAATATAACATACAGGGGTTAATGGATACTTAATAAGGCCTGGAGTGACCTCAGAGAGTAAACTGCAGTGCTTAACAATCCTCCACCAGACTGAGAGGCTGCAGCTTCCCTGTTACAGGCTTGTTTGCAGCATCACTGTGAAAATGAAGATAAACGATTAGTGAATATTTGTGTTTTATTTATTCTAAAATTATTCTGCAGCTGTCTTTTTTTTCTTGTTGTATATTTAATGGACACCATGGGATTTTCCCCCTTTGAATAAATGTATTTGGACAGATTTGACTTTTGATTTGAATTATTATTTCATGACTTGTGAACACAAAGGGATGTTTACTGATTCAGATGTAATAATTCATAATAAAACCCTGTTCATGATGTTTTTGTGCAGCTCACTGACTGAAGCCTTTCTGTTTCCACTTTGCCTGCAGGAGTGGAAAAACAAACAGCTGAGAGCATGACACACACATTTGTTTTACAGTGCTGCAACATTAACGCTCATTCATACACTGGACTATTTTAATCTAAGAGGAGAGAGCAAGCCTTCACGTGAATGTGCATTAAAAATGATGCAGGTGACACATTAAACATATTACTGGTCTGTTAGCGAATGTTGTTGTTCAGTATGAAATGGTTCAGTGTTGTCGTGTAACAAAAAGTTACTTGATGAAGGTCAGATATAGTTTGAGTTATTCAAGGCTCAAATGAGGAACAGTTTTATGGCGTTACCCCACCAGTCAACATTCTGCTCACTCAGTTCAAAAAGTGAGAGATACTCGGTAATAAATAAGGGCAGAGTTACCAGATTGATCAGAGTCAGTTGTCCGTGGATTCATCCAGGGAAAAATTACTCCGGAGCGGCAGATGGTGAGTAGAGTGCAGCTCCTGCTCTTGATGTCCAGCTTGCCCTTGGCATGGCAGTGAACCGGGGGCTCCAGTGGGCTCTGAAACTGTTCATCTGGGCTCAACCTGGAACTGACATGAACGGAGGAGGTCATGTTTTGCTGATTAAGTTCTGCGTCTTGGCCTCCACCGCCTCCGCCATTGTACTCTGGCACTGGCATTTGTCCAGAGCTCATAGCAAAACTGTTGCCATGCAGCTGCAGTGGGAGGGTGGTGGGCTGTTGGGGGTCCATGGAGCCAGCTCATCAAACTGTCTCAAATAAAACCAGGAATCCCTCAGCAGCAGTAAAAGACAAGGGGGTTCTCTCTGTCTAATATCCCATCACAATTAACCTGACTGTGTAAATCCATGCAGGGAAGAACTTGGAGTAACCATGTGGAATATTTGAATAATATTTACCAGACGGGTGCTGTGGTCACGTGTGGCCTCCTCCTCCAATGACAGAGCTCTGGAGTTGCAAAGTAATCCGCCTGCAATTTGGGGCGCTCGAAGAAGAAGAAGCTTCAGACAACATTTCCACGAGCTGCCTGCGTTTCTGCACCTGTAGGGATTGAGGAGGAAAATAAAAATCACACAACGGAATATGAATGAATAGATGCCAACACCTGTTTAGAAAGGAGAAAGAAAGAAGAGGGGTTTAGTATGGAGATAGAGAGAGAGAAAAGGGGGGATGGCAGGGAGGAGGAGCAGGGGGGAGGCAGACAGAGATTACATGTGTGGTGAGAAACGTCTCGCTGTTGATTTTCTTGTAATATTGTAAATCTTTTGACAGGAAGCGTTTATTAGACGGAGCCGCCGCCTGCAGCTGCACATCCACTCAGTCCTCTGTGCGCGTTGGTAGGTTTTTTTATTCAAGAGCAACGCGACGAGCTCGACCCGCAGACTGCTGCTGCTGCGTCTCATCCACTCTGGATAATTATATCGACCACATGTCATTATTTTACTGAAGCTTTCCAGATGTGCAATGCAGACTAAATAATCGAATGAACTGTGTCCCTACGTATTTACGCGTAATTTGAATAGAATTAGTAATAGTTGATTTTGTAGTCATGCTGCAGCTATGGCTTTTCTTTTGATATCTTCTCTAAGGTCGATTTCTGCCTGTAAAATAATTAATTCCGATTCTTTTTTTAATAGCTTTATTCGCAACAAATTTAGCAACTCATTATAAATAGGCGGGATTTTCCTACAAATACGAGCAGATGCTCATAACTGTCGGTGTGGAAGTGTGCAGCTTTAATAGGAATCACTGGGAGTGGTCAAACAAAGGCTTGACAGTCATTGCCACACAAAGACAAAGGAGGAAATCATTAGAGAATTTTTCTTTTCTATAGGACGATTCGACGCGTTTGCATTAATCAGGCATCACTGTACAGTATCAAGTGTCCCCGTGTGTGTGGCAGTGAGAGGCAACAGTCAAACACTGCACATGTTCTGATGGTAAACATCCCGCCTGCTGCTCGGCTGCATGGACAAAGAGGAGGAGGAGGAGATGTTGAGCAGAGCTGCTCTATGTGCGTCTGTTTGCATTTACAAAGTGCACCAATGCAACTGGGAAATAAAGCAATGAAGCTGCAAAGTATTTAAATAAAATGTAAATACTGCAAACTCATTAAAAACCTCTGCAATAAATATTTTAGGGGAAATTATTTGGGCTAAAATCTGAATCAAATGTGGCCCAATTAAGTCACACTGAGGTGGAGAACTCTCATTAAAAGTTGCTTAATTAAAAAAAATACACTAATGTATGCAAATTGGATCCTCAACTAGAACGATGAAGTGATCAAAACATTTTTTTCTAAATAGCAGCCAAAAGCATCCTCGCCCAGAATGAGAGAGGGGATGCGCAGGCTACGGTGTTAGCATATTCTGTTTCCTGTATCCATCATAGTTGAACCATGGCTTTAGATTTAAGTTCTTTCTCGTGTTTCACTACAACAAAGCTGTCGAGAAAAGCCTCTTTAAACGTCTCTCAGAGGTGATGGATTATGCACTCAGGGTTGCATAGCATGGAAGGAGAGGAGTCTTCCCCCTACTGCTGCTGCCTCCAAAACTGAGCCTTTACCTGAACCTGAACACACTTGCTTTTCTATTTAATTCAATTTAAACAGGCTGCATATTTTATTTTTGCAGTTCATTGATTTCAATAGAGTTACAATTAGAGTAAGGCTTATTGGCAGCTACAATCAGGATAAAAGTGTCTTGATTTTCCTGTAATTATTATTGATTAAATTTTAATTTTAATCAGAGGCTGAGAAGGAGCTAATGACTGCAGCCAGTTTCCAGCCTGTCCATTAAAATAATAGCAAAGTGCCAAATATCTCCACAGTCTATATAGAGACAGAGTGAAATAGAATAGGAATTAAACCATAACGACGTCAGCCTGTGCACCAGAAAAATCTATCAGCTCCTCTCCTTGTTATTATTGTGATTATTGATAGAAACAGGTGGATTGGGCAGCATGGATCAGGACGCAGCGCTGAAATGGGGGAAAGTAATTAAATTCGTTTTGTTTTCCTTACCTCACACCCTTGAACACACTCTCTGAATTGGAGATAGGATCTATGATATACTGGCTCAGCAAGACCATAATTTAGCTCCTCCGCGCCTCCACCACAATTCTCCGTGAACTCTGTTTGAACCGCCTCGGTGGCAATAAATCATTTTTCTCTCTCGCACAAAAGCGCGCCGGTCGCTCTGGGTGTCAACCCTTTTACAATTCCTCCTTACACCTTCTGCGCTCCCTCTCTCGCCCGCTGACACAAGCAGCCGAGGAAACTGTCGATAAACTTTTTATTTTTCACAGCAATAAGTTCGCCTGCAGAGAACGAGAGAAGAAAGAGGACAAGATGGGGGGGTGTCTGCAAATGCGCACAGGCCGAGAATTCTGTAGCGCGCAGCACGATCCTTCGTATATTTTTATTTTCTACAAATTATAAACTCCCTTTCACTAACGAAAAAAACAAAACATAATTGGTTTCCAGGGCTCAAACCAAAGCACGGATCAGTTAATGTATTTCCAAGGGGACAGAGCGCAGCAGATAAGGGGAGACTGAGAGAGGGAGCCGGGGAGAAGACGTTAATGGGCAGAGGATGCTGTCGGTTAAAACGGTGCATACAAATGGCGCTGTCTTGGCAGAGCAAGCGGAAGATTTATGGGCCCGGTGCCCTATATTGCTGTAAACAATGCAGAGTGAAATGAAAGGACTAGAGTTTGCAGACTGCACTTCATAAGTGAGGAAAAAGACACACATTGTCAATTTCCCCCAAACAGCACCTGACTTTTGCATAAGTATGTGCATTATAATTTGGGCCTATAGCTGCTGTTGGCGTGTGCGTGTGTGTGTGTGTGTGTGTGTGTGTGTGTGTGTGTGTGTGTGTGTGCACCACTGTAAATCCTGACCTGTGGATGAAGTGCATGAAAGGTATTAATCCTGCAACTCTGAGCCAGTGAAGTTACTCAAAGTCTAACATTTGAATGTATATATATATAAAAGAATCCATTCAGATAAAACCTAATTTTCAATACGGATTGACTCACATTAAAACACAGCTACAAAAGAAATATGTAGCTGTTTTCTCGTGTAAAATCTAAGGATGTGGAAAAATATTGACAATTTAAATCCAATCTGCTTGTTCCTCAGTTATGTGAATGAAAGTGCTGTTTTACTGACGTAAACAAACTTTTATGGCTGCAGTCTTGTCAATTCATTGAGCAGATCTAAATTCTGTATTTTGAATTTTGGCAGTTTTTAGGTTTTGATTACATCTGACATGAATCCAGCTTTTTGAATTGCACGCGTGCAATTTGCGAGGACGTGAACAAAAACAAGCCCTGATGCTCTGAGCATAAAGATGAACTGTGGTATCATGCAACTGGTGGCCACACAAATACATCAGAGGATCATTTTCAGGGGGAGCAAATCAAATGAAACGCGCGTTTTCACTTAACCTACACATAATTGTCGATCTATAGTCTCGGCGAGCCATATTCAGATCATTTTTGCTAATGAAAAGTGAATAACATAATCATAACTCAGTGCAGTGACTGGGCCCCCGGTGACACCTTGAACGGGAGGAAAATGACTGTAATTTCGAAGGTCCTCAACGATGCAGCAAATAGGCGAATGAAATATTCCTCACCGAGGCGTTATGATGACATAAAGTATTAACTGGCAAGTTTACCCAGGACACCATCATCCCCCATGAGTGTGTGCGTGCGTCTGTGTGTGTGTGAGTGACGTGGGACATCAAGAGTGTGAATCCCCGAGATGATGCTGCGTGCGTGTCCCCCCCTTCTGCTTTTTAAATGTTTTCCAGCCCTGACAGTAAATCATTTTAACATGTCTGATGGAGTTTTAAAATCTAGTTTTATGTAAATGTATTTGCCTCTCTCTCCTATACACACACTCACACATGCACAAAAAAGACACACACACACACACACACACAGAGAGAGAGAGAGACACACACAAAGAAAAGACATGGTGCATCTGCTCCCTCGAGTGAACGGATGGGAGAGAGATTTACGGATTTATGACACACCCACTGCTGGTCAATGCGAGAGAGTGTCTGTCCCTGGAAAATAGCAGCGTGACCCCTGTTTCAACTCTCAGCCTTTATGCAGCTGCCATGGCTGCCGTTTAAACACACTACACCATAACAATACACCGGGCCCGGGCCTTTCATTACAAAGCAAAGTGGCTGAAGAAGACACTCACCTGAGACGAGTGCAGAGGAGAGAGGAAAAACAAACACATGTGCACTTACCCCGACGCACAAGGAGAAAAATAAAGAAATAAAAGCAGGTAATAAACCAGAGCCTGCACCAGAACAGCTGATCATTTCTGTTTCATACATTTCGATGGCTGTTTGTGTAAAGTTTTTATATCTACACAGAGGGAGAGGGAGGGAAAGAGAGAGAGAGAGCCCTCGCCTGGGGTGCGCTCATAAATCACGAGTAGCCTGCAGCGGTGCAATGTGAGCTGAAAATCATGTGTGATTCAACAGTGTCAAGTCAGAGAAGAAACCAGTTAGAGCTGAGTAAGTGCTGAGGAATTTAAACACTGAGTCCGAAGCGCGTAAAATACACCGAATTCTTACAATAACAGCCAAACTGCTCCAAACTCAAGGGGAAAGAGCAGGCTGAAGCCAAACAGCTGGAGGAGCATTCAAATCTTTTATTTCAAACTGTACGAGAAAAAAAACATGAAGCTGTTATTCAAGGATATAATGTTTGTTTTTTAATTCCTTCTTCTGACAGGTAAGACTATCAAAGTTCACGCATATATTAGACAATGAGAGCAGAAAAGTAAACGCTTAAAGTTTATAATGTACGTTTCTATCCCATGATAAATACCCATGTTTAGAAAAGTTTCCGCAAAGTGTAATAACACAAAAGCGGAGGTTAGACTGATTTATGACTGACACGACAACGTGAGCTTTTGTTTGAAAAATAATTCTAAAACCACACGTTTTGTTTGTCCCCATCATAAATCCAACACACGGCTGCGCGTAAAAGTTTCGTCCTTGGCAAAGCAAAGTCAACAAAAAGTCATGAAAAGAAAAGAATAATAATATATTCCTCATGTAGATGTTAAATTACAAGAGCTCAAAACAAAAGAAGGACATCGCGGTGTGTAATAAAAGATGCATCTGTATAACCACACACAACACACACACACGAGAAGAGGATAAATGATCACACACACACACGACAGACACTGGGATTGGATGTTTGGCTCTTGGTGCCAACTGTTTATGTTGGAGGACATGCTGTCTAATATTGTTCCATCACTGCTGAACATTTGCTCCAGGCCACACACACACACCAGACTTGTTGCTTATAGTGAAAATGGAAATAAGAATATTAGAATAAATTCCCGGCTGCTTGCAATGAGAACACCAAGTAAGATTATCCAAATAAACACAAGAACAATGATGCATTGGCTTCACCAGCTAAGCAATATCTCAGGGGTTGTCAACATTCCTGACATTTGATTTTTATTTTGTTATCATTTTATTTAAAGATTTTTGGGAGTATTTTGCAGTAAATGTTAACTTGTAAAGCAAAAAAGCAGAAAAGAGTATGCAGGTTAAATTCTGTTTCCTCTGAGGAAGACCATTAGCATCTGGATAAAAATAAAACCTTGACGAGCTTTCGAGAGCTTGCAAGTTGAAGGTCCTTGTCTGTTCATAAACTAATTACAATGACCAGTTGACCCAGTTCTGTCAGACACACACACATCTACAACTGGCAGCTGACTTTTAAAATGCAAGTGCTGACCTGAGACCAGTTATTCTCTTAAGTCACGTGACGGCACAAAACTATTTTTACTGCCTTCTGTTTTGGGAGAGTTTAGGGAATGCAACAGTTTTTTAAGATATTTTGAAAAACGACAGTGCTATTCAATATTTCTCTTGTTTCCCTGCACAAACTTGGGAATCAGATTTATATTCATCTTGCACAATCACTCAGAATATTACAACCACGTGTATTTCTCCTGTCAATGCATTAGCTCCAGTTAAAGTTACCACAAATCTGCAGCACTTTGCTTGCAGATCTAATTTAAGAAATACAATCTATATTATTATTATTATAGAGGATTATTATATGGGGCTAGAATTTTCTTCATGAGTAAGTAAAAAGACACGTTGTCAATTTGTCCTGACTTTTGCAGGAGCATGCATTCATTTGGGCCTTTAGCTGTAAATCCTGACATTCAAAACTTGTTTTTAATGAGTCCTAAAGTTCTCCAGAGGACTGTCCCAGAGTTCAACACTGTCCTGGGTCAACTGTGATGACTAAGGGTGCAAATCATTCAGTGATGTCCTACCAAAAAAATCCATGCAACATGCTCAAATTAAAGGAGTTACATTTTTTCTAATAGTTATTATTACGATAAATCCTGTTGATTTACAAGACGCCGAGCAGAGGACTGTCCCAGAGTTCGACACTGTCCTGGGTCAACTGTGATGACAAAGGGTGCAACACATTCAGTGATGTCCCAAAAATATCAACAAAGAAAGAAATTCGCGGCCAAGGGGGACCAGCGAGGGCGCACACAGAAGGTACACGTACAGAGTAGGGAGTCAGGTCACAGGGTTGGAGGGGTCGACCATCCAGACTGAAATGAGCCTAATGGGACAGAAAATGTGTCCTCGAGCTGAACTCGGCCTTCTCCCACTCGCCCCCCAAAACTTCAATAAAGTAGCTTTTCAGCCTCGCGACATGGAGGCGACAGGGCCTCGAAAAGGGGCTGGAGGGATGCTGCGACTGTGGCGAGCACATTAATTTCTCTAATCTGTCCGGCAACATAAAGGCTCCTGGATTCATTTCTCAGCGCCGTCTCATCACCATTCTAACGCCTCTCCAAAAGACCACATCCCCCCAAAAGACAGCAGATTCTACCCGCTGTAAGGTCCAGTAGACGTGGTCCAGCTCAGATCTCAAGGTTAAGAATGCTGGTGCTATGAGAAGCACACAGTCTGGTACATAATATTTGTGTTGGATCAAAACTGGCTGTTGTCTGAGCTGTTTTTTTTTTTCCAGAACGCGGCACAAAGCTGTGCAGTGAAAGATTGATGATGGAGAATACCTCTTCCTTTTGTGCTCCCTGTGCCCCCCCACCACGCCAGGCATTTTATATAAGGCCTATTCATGTCACCATTTCAATAATCTATCAAATTCTTGCGCGTCTTTGGGTTTCAGTCATGTTTAAACTGAGAATCCGTCTCCAAATAGAAAAAGAAATAGAACGCATCAGTGTTAGAAAATAAAAACCTTGAGTTGAGGAGGAGGGGTGGGCTCATGTTTGGGTGGTATTTTTGTCTTATTTTAGTTGTGTGAGTCCAGCAGCAGGTCTATACAGTGGTAAACAGCCCTGTGGTGCGCTGTTAGTCCGTCTGCCAGACGAGAAGCGGACGATGACGTTGCACAGAGATGCGTTTTGCGCTTTTCTTTTTTTTTTAAATTGTACGTTTCTTGCGTTCTCGCGAGCTGCTGCGCACAGGAGGCAATGTGGCCTCTGTGGGGAGGGAGGGGGAGAGGGCGGTGGGGGTGGGGGTGCAACATTTAAATATGGCACAAAAAAAAATGTTTATACAAGCGAAATATAAAAATAGTTAGAAATAATAACGTAAACACTGCTGCTCACAAGCAGCACCCTGAGGCTAACAAAGGTCAGCCATACTCGACTCCATCCCCATCCTCACTCTCATATTCAACGAAGACCGTCATGTCGAAATCTATCTGCAATTCACGATTTTATTTAGATTTCATTTAATTTTCTATCATTGTTTTTTTTACATTTGAAAACTCAGTGGCAAGTATGGCGCACTGGATTATAGAAAAAAAACCAGGTCAATTATATAGGTTACAAAATGGATAAGAATATGTTCACAACAATCTTAAAAATCTCTAACACATTTGCAAAGGTCGTCTAGATTATTTGCATGCAGCTTTTTTTATTTGTGTGTTCAAGTTGTGGACGAGGGAAGAAGCAGGGAGCTTCTTCCCTCGTGGCTGTGGCAGAGCTGAGGCAGTGTGGAGTGAAGGGCCTCAGTGGCTCGTCTTTAGCGGTAATTGAATGCCCTTCAGACTGATGAGGTTGCACATAATGCACAGCGCAAACTATTTCATTTTTCAGAGGTTGTTTTTGTTTTGTAGAAAGAACTCAAGTCCATTATGAGTTAGGCTTTAACACAAACACACACACACACACACACACACACACACACACACACACAAACACACACACACAAACACACACAAACATACACACAATGTTTGTACACATTGCAAATTCAAAGAGGCAAAAAAATGCAGATGCTGGTTTGATAAAAACACAGTTTGAAAAGCAGTGATTCTCGTTTCCCTCGTGATAATGTTCCAGTAAGTCTGTACACCTTTAAAGACCGAAATGACTGATCCAAACAGCCCAAAACAAAATGCTTCCAGACCTCACCCTGCCTCAAAAATGAAGTTCGACCAAACGTATGTAAAACTAGTAGACACTCACTGTTTTATTGACCAATATGATTAGCACAAGAAACACTAAAACTCCGTTTATTGCATTTCACAATAATCTGCTTGATAACGGTCTAAACACAACATCAACACCACATAACTAAAAATTGCAAATCAGGTTCCTGTTTCTGAAATACACGAGGTAATTCACACACTGTTATCATCCTAAACATACAAGTTCAAGATCAATGGTGTGTTTCCAGCCTTTTTTTATATACCAAAAATAACTATTATTATATTGATTTCCTTCCAGTGTTGCTTGAAATAAATAGATTGTGCATTTCACCTTGGGCAGCAGGGCAAAAGAACGGCCCACAATAACATTTCGATAAAGTGTAAATTTTTTCTACTTTTTTTTCCTTCATTCAAAACATTTTTTTTCATAAAAAACATCATTTTAATTGAGCTTCAAATAAATTAAACCCTGTGTCACGTAAAAATAATCCATCGGTATTCGCAGTAATCCATGCTATATAACATGCATTTTATATAACTTTGGACTTAAAGGAAACCGCACAAGATAGCTACGAAAACAAAATATATAATTGTTCTATAAATAACCAGTTCTTCTTCTAGCCACACTCGGTGGTCGGGGTTTTTATAACCTGGTAATATCCTCGCCATGCTGTGCTCCGGAGAGTTCGTCGGGGGCCCCAGTGTTAGTGGCCGAGGCAGCGGCTACAGCGCCGGCTGCTGAGCCTGTGTTGGACCCAGAGGAGGAGGAGGATCTCACTTTGGTGTTGGGCAGCCTGTGATCCTTTTTCCATTTCATCCTGCGGTTTTGAAACCAGATTTTTATCTGTCGCTCGGAGAGAACCAGGGTGTGGGCGATCTCGATGCGCCTCCGCCGAGTTAAATATCGGTTATAGTGGAATTCCTTCTCCAATTCTAAGACTTGCTGCCGGGTGTATGCTGTCCGAGACCGCTTGGGCTCCGCTCCATTGTAACCAGGGTTCACTGAGGGGAAAAAGGGAGAAGTGGAGAGAAAGGGAGACGGAGAAGGGAGGAAAAAAGGAGGGGTAAACAAGAATGGCCTCAACTGAGATATGGCTGGAAAGATTTATTGGATGTGAATGTTTGGCTGTTTGAGAAATTTCAAAGGGAAGTTAAGAAATCTGTGCGTAATGAGAGGACACTCACATCCAACTATGAGCTAAATTATTAATGCAAGATTACAAAGCTCAATTTTTTTCCCTTATTCGTTTCTCCCCCTTCTCTCCATCGCGCAATACATAACAGCAGAAGCCACATGGTGATACGGCTGCCCTGAGTATACCTCGGCTATAAAATTTATGGTGGGTGTAATTACCAATGCCGAGTCGTAAATCCGCCTCAATTGTGCCATTTCAAAGGCTTCCCTGCTATCGGAACAGGGGCTGGCAACGAGATGGGAGTCAGAGGGACTGATAAAGGGAGGGAAAGGGAGAGAGGAGCGAGAGGGGAGCAGGGAACATAAACACACAAGTTGCCTACCGGTGCTGACGTGAATTTTCTTCATCCACGGGTACACCACGGGCTGCTTGGAGGAGGCTGTGCTGTTTGGATGCTCCGGGGTGGCTTGGTTGCAGGCGGAGGTGGCGGCCGGTGGGGTGGCGGGGGACATGGACAACTGTGGGGTTTCACATGAAGCAGGCTGCCCTTTCCCTGTCAGCAGGTGCGCAGAGTGGGGTATTCCGTGTCCCCGTGGCGTGTCGGGTTCGGGGATGCTTGCACAGTTAAACTGGCGCTCTTGGTAGCTCGCCCGCGGAGGATATAACTCCTGGTGGTGATGCTGGTAGCCAGGGTCCCTTGCGCGGCTGTAATATTCTGGACTATGCTCGGGGATGTAGTTGTTTTGCGAATATTCCTCGCATGGAGGAAATTTCGGATCAATGTAGTTAGACTCCATCAAATACGAGCTCATGATCATTAATTTCTGGAGTGGAAAATAATTTTTCTAGCTTTGTCGTTTTTCTGCTCCATAAAGCCCTCCTACTTGCGAGCAGCCCTGTAAAGTTACTTTTACCACGTGACTCTATGGCCCAATAGCAGATGAAGAGGTAGTTCCCGGATAAGGAACCAGAGGTATTTAGCATACCTACAGTCGCCATTGAGGGCACAAACCTCTCTCTCTCTCTCTCTCTCTTTCTCTCTCTCTCCCATTCTGTCCCTGCCTCTCTCTCCCCCTGGTTGTGTTACCAAAGCAATTGATCTTGGGGACAAAACTAGTAGCTAGTTGCTGACCAAGGCAAAAAATAAAACAGGCAAGATCCGCTGCTCTCAATTATTCAAAGGGACAATAGGTGATTTGCCAAGGATAAGGTACAACAATAGCAAACCAATCATTTTGTTAGGCTGCACGCCTCAAATAAAGGTTATCAGCTAATTAATGAAGACTCAGTCTTTAACCAGCAGCACTTCAGCTGTGAAACACATTATGGTCCATTAATGCGCTTAAGAATTAGAGCTGCATCACTTCTGTAAGTTGCTGTTCCTATTAAAACCATTCTGCACAAATAGTGGAGGTTTACTGGGACTGTAAATGTCAAGAGAGGCACTGGAGGTGTGGTGGATCTCTGAAAATAGGCCCGATCATTTATAATGTGGGAGACAGGAAGAGTTACACCGTCTGAATAAAAGACGCCATTCAATTGATTTGTCTGGTTGTTCCAGTTTATTCTTTCAACAACTGGGCCTTCGTGTTTTCATTGATTAAAAACTGCACAAAGAAGGAAGTATTTGGCTAAAGCTTCTCAATGAAATTATTTTTAAAGCTGCTTTGAATATCTCAGCAGCAAATAATAAAAATAAATCAAGATATATTGTGTGCTGATTTGTAAACAGTCATGTTTACTTTTAATTAAAGCGCCATGTTGTATATATTCTTATTCAAAAGGTGGCTGGAGCCAAAGGTGTAGGGTTCTGTCCCAGAGACTGAGCAGAATAAGATGTTAAGAATAAAGAAAAGTCACGGTGGTAACAGTGAAAAAGTATTAAGTGAAAAACCCTGAAAAAATAACCTTTATTAATAACATCTAATTCTGAAATGTACAGCTATTTATCTGTATGTAGAATTCAGTATCACACATGTTGTGATTTCTCCATCCAAACAGTGGAGCACAAGCACAGAAATGTCACAGAAACAACACAGGGTGGAAGCTCAGCAACTGATGTCACAGACTGAGCAAAAAGGGAAGCAGCCAACAGACCAGACGAACTCAGAGCTCCCAATGTGACATCAAACGACAGCTAACACAGAACAGCACCACTGGGGTGTCACTGATCTGACAACCGGCACCATCATGGTGGGACATACCAGAGAGCAGCAGAACAGCTTGATCAGTAGTACTGTGCACAATGAAGTTAGGTTCACAGACCAGAGAGTAACTGAGCAATCCTCCTCTATACCATGCTGGATAGAAACTATAAGATAATTAAATGCAAACATATCAGGGGTTTTGATCACCTCATGCCTCTCTGTCTTCACAACATTCAAAAGTCCTTGTGTTTTACTTGTGAGGCAAGCTTTGGAGCTTAGTTACAACCAAAATAAAACCACATGAAGAGTAAGTAAATTAACTTTGTTTGTGTGTGGACAATAGCTGCCCTGTGACCAGCAGATGAGCGCAGGGCAGCTACAATCCAACTGTTGAGAGCGAGCGTCTCAAAGAATCCAACATAGATAGGCAGAGGAAAAAATGCAACCATGTTAACACTGTCCTGTGTATACGAGTCAGTCAATCTTATGCCAAAATAAATTGATACAAGCTGTAATATCTCAGCCTAACTGCCATTTGGAAATGGAGCCTCCACATACTTCATGCTAATCCTGGCTGAGGCTCTGCTCAACAGCAGCCCCCATTACAGGAGGTATGCTGTTGTTCTGTAAAGTGATACTGCCTGGTTGTATAAACTTGTCATGCTGCTGTAGGCTCCTCGTTCTTATCTCAGAGTCAACTTTGGTCAAAGAGACCGAAAGAGGTTAACTCCCAAACAGCTCAGCAGCCTCCCAAACACATTAAGAAAAACTGCATTTCTCCTCCCCTATCTTATCTATAAGCATGTATGAATGGTAAGAATAAAAATGAAAAGCAGCAGCACAGTGTCTGTTAAAGTTGCAACAATTACATAACGTGCTCAAAAAAATCCAGGTCAAATGGTATATTTCTGTCATGTTTGTCGAGAATGCGCACGACATTTCTATTACCTCTAGCGAGGATGTTAGAGGCGTTTTATAGAGCAATAAAAGCCGTAAATCAGTCACTTTTAAACGACCCCGGTTCCTAACGTGTTTTACAGGGTTTGACACATGAAGCCGCAGACTGCACACAAGGGTTTTCTCTCTGTGGCCTGTGCGACTCAGTGCATGCTTGTCTGGATAGTGAATGCCGTTTGTGACAATGTGAGTGCATTGCATATTGTGTTTGTGTGTGATGCTCGTATATGTGCAGCAGCAGGAAAAGTCAAGAGAGACGTGCAGAGAGGAACAGGAGCGACAGGAATCCAGAGGCTGGCGTGGTATTTCAGTTGCCCATGTATTCCTGTAGAGACGTATTTGCGATTGTTTGTACTTCACACAAATTCGGTTCTACAGGGTACATATAGACAACTAATGTTGTTAGGATGCAAACTGTAAAAGGAGGTGGAGAAGTCTCTCAGGCAAAGATCCGTGCAAGCACGTCGTCGTGTGTGTAACCGGAGTAGCATGCAATCGAGTCTAGTCACAACAGATATTAAGGCTGCAATGGATACTTGACTAAACGTGCGCCAGAGCGGATGCTGTGAGTCAGGAGGACTCGGAATCCCACAACTCAATTCCGCAATTGACACGATACTTACAACATCTAAAATAACATCCCTGCAATATAAAAATCCGTGCGTAAAGGCTACACAGGTTTGCATAAACACACACACACACACACACACACACACACAGACACACACACACGTCGTGTGCAGAGGACAAGAGGCTCTTTTCTCCACATTCAACCTCTGCCTTTGAGGTGGCTCCTCTATGAATATTCGCTCACAAACACGGCGGATACAAAGGGACGGCGTGACAGCACGGATGAAAAATAAGTTTCTATTGTTCCCAACCATTTCTTCTGCTCGCCATTACCATACTGACCGCTCAGTAACCTTTCTTCCTGCCACTCTGGAAGCTAATGAGAAAGGCCTCGGATGACAAATGCAATATCAGACATGTGACCTGTTCCGAGGTTATTAAAAACAGCAAACATGCTCAGATTGTGAATCAATGGAATTGATTACAGTGGAAGTGCGGGGGGGGGGACTTCAAGCCACTGTCAAAACACATCCCCATCTACATATTTCTCCTCGTGCACTCTGTGGATCAGCTTGATAGATTTTTTAAAAAATTGAAGAACAAAGCCTCCCAAGACCAGGAGCAGCGAACTAACGAGGAGACAGGACTAAATAAAACCAGATTCTTGCTCGTCTTGCCGCACTGTATGCTCATCTACATGCACGCTTCTTGTCGTGCACCCAACCATGTGCGCAGAAGCACAGCACATACTCCCCACTCGGCCCACGCGCTCTGGCGGGCGCATTTTAATATTAGTTAGACAGCCTGACCCGCGTTTCACCCCTCGCGTTTGACTGGCTCCAATAGTTCACTGCCACGGATTATTGATGGAGAGACAGCAATGAATTCTTTCTCCCCACAAATGGCTTTCAGATCTTGCACCTAGTTCAATAACTAGTTATAATGCAGAAGTACAAAAAATGAGGCCCTCAGGCGGACTAATTTGATGTTTCATTTGTTCATTTGAGAAATCGGTGAGCTTTTCTCCCCCCCCCCCCTTTTTTTTTCTCCAGCAAAAAAACAGCGTGTACAAGCGTGTTCACACATGTACATATGTAAACAAAATAAATCTGTGCAAAACTATGTGGAGGCGGCTGCTCTGTCCATGCATGGCTGTTTTTAATTTGGCAGACCAGCAGCACCTTGACAGTGCAGCAATATCCCCCCTCTCCCTGATGAAAATGGCTACGATGCGCTTTTAATCAAACCCTTAACCTAATAGCCTTTTACACGTTTACTCTCCCCAGGTGCAATAACGTTAGGCAGGATGGTCCAGTTAAAATAAAAAGTTTTAATGAAGTGCAGACAGACTGGAGACTAGTTAGACATGAATGCCCTGCAAAAGCAGCAGCAGCAGCCAGGGGAGCAGAGGTAGTTGTAGATACTGGATCTCCCACAGAAACCATTGGTTGGCTTGCAGATCATTATTGTGGCTCATTAGAATCATGATGCACTGTTAAACCCAACTTTTCTAACTGTTAACTAGACCCAACTGCTGAGAGACAGTAATCAGTGCTTGACTTGCAGGTTTTGTTGAAGAATTTGATGTAAAAATGTGTTAAACATTGTGGTTTTCAATGCGCAACAATGGCACAAACACCAGAAACCTCCAAAGCAAATTCGTTAAGAGCGCGAACGTGAGTGTCAGTGGAGCCAGATGTTTGCCTACAGCCACATGAAAAGCTCCACCGTGTAGTGTCACATCCTCTGACCGGAGCCAGGTGGACAGGCGAGGGGCGATGGATAAACACTTACTGACACATCCACGGCGCGACTCGTTTTGACCGGATGAAGTGTCTGAAAAAACAAAAAGAAGAAACGAAATTAGATCTTGGATGGCCTGAATATTATCTTCTTTTTAAGTAAGAAAACGACTTTTGTTAGAAATTTAAGTTAACAGGGGGAAAAAAGCAAATTCAATCATTTGGTAAATTATTTCCACGTTTAAAACAAATATATAATCGATGAATTATCCATTGGATTAATTAGGAGTGTATTTACTAAGTCAAGTCGTGTTAAAATACGTTTGAAAGAGAACATTTCAGATAATACAAGTTATACAAATAAATAAAATGAAAATATGAGCAACACAGGATATAAATAAAAACAGGACAGGCATATACAACCTGTATATCATACCATTCAATTATTAAAAGTGTATTCTCTCTGATTCTAAACGCAGTTTTGATGTGTTGAGTTAGTATTTAATCTTAATGACGCTTCACTTTGTCCCTGATCTCTGTTTGTCTCCTGATCGAAGGGACACAAATGTCCCAGAAAAGCTCGGACATGTGCGGACTCCTGCAGGACATGAGACCGAGGACAGGGATGGAGGACGGGTCATTTTCAGACAGTAAAACTAAATCTAGAGGCATTTTGGTTTTTCCTCGGGCAGAGATGTTCCAGGAATAGAAATCCCTGGACTTGAATTACGGCGATCAGTCAATTAAAAAGATCACGACTTTGTGTTCACATTGTAAATAAATTGGTAGAGGTGTGGAAAACGATGGAATGCCACTTTGTGGATCTTATTTGGACTCAGACAAAGAGAAGTCTGCGTTCACCCGGAAATGACCTCTGCGTGTTGAATGATGACAGTGTCAGATCCACAGGTCACAGAAAGAGATGCACGAGCTCAGGACGTGGCGGAGAAAACGGATGTTTAGACAGTTTCACTTTTTCTGTCTCTCTGGAGCCACATTAGATTGATTTGAGCTGGAATCTTGCATCTTTTAAATTTATATATCCAGATTAGATTTAACGAGATTTCGGATTCAAACGTTCTCTAAAAGATACAGTGACTGAAAAACCACGAGGATGTAAAATAATTCAGACCATAATACAAGTTCTGCAACATGTGTGAAGATGTCTGATCACACATCAAATCTGTCTGTAATTTATGGCAAAACAGAAAATACTTTAAATGTCTATTTTTGGAGGAAAACTACTTTCTAGGTGTTTTATTTTCTTGGGGTGTTATTATATTTTTTCTCCACCTGCAAACACAAATAATATGAGTAATAACATCAAAGGAATATGGCAAATTGAATTAAATATCGAGAAGAAAGGGGCAATAATCGATGCTATGGTTTGCACACATTGCCCCCCCAACAGTGTTTAACCCACACAAGTGCGTGTTACACAGTGCCCCCTATCGGAGGTGTATAATTGATCACCCTCCACACCTGAAAACAGACTTGTAATCCAGACAAAAACTACACCAGACACTGAGTCGAACAGTAAACCAGACACTGATGCGGTTAGTGGCCCTGACCTCAGTTCATTTGTGCACCAAAGCTGAAGCCTGGACAAGAGTTGAAACAAAGACGTTTCCATTTCTGTCACTGTCATTTCATTCGTGCATTAAGATCAGATGCTGCAGCACAGTCCAAGAGTGCATCAATGCTGCACCTTGTTCATGACCTAATATAAAATATCAAGCCACTTGCAGCTGCACACACTGACCAAGAAGAGAAGGTTATTTCTAAACTGAACTGCTTTGGGCAAAATAATGATGCGAAGATCAAATTGTCTCATCATCAGCTCTAAACTGATCAATCTAGAAACATTTGTGGCTGCAGTGTGAGGCAACAAGTACAAAAGGAGCATGAGAGGTATTGCCAACACGAAAATGAAAATAAACAAGCAAACGAATAACAGAAAATATTGAAACGACATTTTTAGTAGATTTGTATTTTTTGCAGCAACAATGCACTGAGAATATTTGGATTAGGACGATGCCAGAGATATGTTGGGTAGTATCTTTGAGTCAGACCTGTGCCAATAGTAAAGAGATGACCTCAAAAACAACAGGGACGGATAAAAACAAACTAACCTCGTGTCGAGGTGAAACAATGAGAGGAAGCTTTTTATCAGCAGCTTTTGTATTTTCAATCCATTTTTAATGACGCACAAAATATTTAACCTATCTGATAACCTTTAAATCACATTTTATCTTCCACTGCACCAAACTATAAGACTTTACTGGGGATTCATTTATTAAAAACTTTTTTTTTACATATAATAAGAGACAGAGAGACCGTGTGTGTGTGTGTGTGTCGACTAGAGACAGAGAGAGAGGGTGGGGTGGATGAAGCTGGACGCCAGATGATTTTTGATCACTCTGGCCGACCTTCTTTTGCTTTTTAATTTTTTCCTCACGTCTCCTTTCTTTCAAATATTTTCCTCCTCTCTCACTGACAGCACGCGCAGCAAACTGTTGACTTACACTGAATGATTCAGCGAGAGACACTGAATCATTCAGCGTTTAGTTTTAATTCTCGGGATTGAAATGTGTAACAAACACATCCTTTACGCTGCGTAAAAAAATTAACCACATGACAAACAATTTTCCTTTACTATTCCTGTTTTCAATGCACTTGATATGCAACAGTAAATTCCTAACAATTAAATCCTTGTTATAATGAAAAACATAAATGCTCCATGATTGCATATAAAAACACTTACAACCAATAATACATAAATTAGCATTTAATATGCTAACACCCATGCATTCAAAGTCACACTGAAAACTCGCAAACACTATTATTATTTCACGGGAAAATAAGAGCACAGTCTCAGGCCTGTAGGCAAAGTTAAAGGCAACTTACTGCAGCAGCTCTCAGTCGCTCGCACCACACCGACTACACAGTCCGGAGAAAGGTACTGCATCCTCACTGCCACACAGCCCTTTCCTCCTCAGAGAAGGGGAAGCCGGCAGCTGCGATTCCGGACAGTTAAGATTATATATGATGTGTATATATCGAAGGTTTGTCAGCTCTTCCAGGCCATAAAACCCACTTAAATGACACCACGTGCTTCCCATGAACCATTCACAGGCCCTCCTTGGGGCAATTGGCATATGTAACCTTGTAAACTTTAAAATACCCAAAAAGAAAGACATAGTAAAATGGGATTGAATGCATTGTCCGCGTTTAGGTTTAGGCCCCAACAGAGCGCAGGGAAAGTGGACGCTTCGTTCACCGGTTCTCAAACCAGTCAAGGAAGTTGAATAGGAAGCTGTTAGTTTCAGAGGTGAGTTGATTTTGATTTTTCTTTAAGTAGCGCTAGAGAGAAATCAGCTCATAACCTTGGGCTACACTGCGTCACACACTGTATTTAGGCTGCTGCTGATCACAGGCAGCGACTGGCATGATTTTATATCCTCAAATAGGAGCAGACGGTGTTGTTTTTAACTACAGTGTAATGATGCCAGCATTAAAGAGCAGGGCGACATCATAAAGTGGCCATATGGCCGCAACAATGATGGTGCTGTAGCTCTGCGGTCACAGGAAGCCGAAGTTTTGCATCCATGTTGTGTTGTGGGCGCGTGTTATCACAGGCTGTGTGTGTCTGTGTGTGTCTCTTCCTTCCCTGACAAAACAGGAAGCGGAGTCTGGCTGTGGTGGAGTGCTGGAAAAGGGGCAATAAAGTTTTATGAGGGGCCTTAAACTTCTAAGCGCGTTTGTCAGTCAATGAAATTCTGCAGATTCGCAGTCAGACTGGAGAGAGAGAGAGAGCAGGAAGAGGAAACAAAAGGAAATGTAGCCTTTGAAAATAGTCTATCCATTTCTAAGTAGTTTATTTCAGTGGATTTTATAACAAAACAATATTTAAATACACTTGATGTGCGTAATTCTACTATTAAACTGTAAAATCAGGAGAGACAAAAATAATAGAAATGTGCATATTGACAGTATTCTGAATTTTAATAATGAGAGTTTATTGGTTACAATTAACAAAATGAAAGTTATTTCACAGCCTCGTGTAAACCTCCAGTTCACAAAGAGGAAGCGAAATGACTTCATTGCACATCACAATATTTTCACACACAGTCGCTGCATTTTACATCATGATTTAGATTCACAGGGATTTGACAAGGACAACATGGATGGAAATGAAAATCCACTCACTAACAGACACCACACGTCCAACGACATCCCAACTCTGCACTGCAAATGTTAGAGAGTCCACTTAAAATCAACAGGAAAGGGAAGAAGAGAGGAAAAGTCGTTTTTAGTGGTGGCAATATTTAACACTTGCTCACAGGACAGCTCTTTACAACCAGTCAGAAATATTTTTGCCTTCATTTGATCCCGTTCATCTGAAAGTGTTTGTGATGACACACAGCTGGGAATGTTGCATGCTGTCACTGCAGCCTCCTCATTGAAACCTCGGATTAGTATTAGTATTATTATTGTGCAGCCTCTCAGTGCACCGCAGACCAGCAGCCTCGCAGCGTGCAGGGCCCTGCTCCCCTCAACCTCTTGTCCCCATCGTGCAGTCAAGTGAGGTTATCATCGCATGGGCTGCAAATTAATTTAGAAATGTAAACCGATTGATCAAAGTGAGCGATATTCAATACATTAGGTCCCAAACTGCAGCGAGTGACACATAATTGGTGATAAAGCACACAGAGCGGTGTCATGATGTCATTGCTCCTAGCAGTTCATCCGGAGGTCAGGCGGCGCTCCAGCACTGTGCAGTGTGGGGCTGAAAACGTGCTGCGTGCACCCCCATGTTCACCGGGGCCACTTCTACTCCTTCACTTTGATCTTTGAGTCCTTCTTCCACTTCATTCGCCTGTTCTGGAACCAGATTTTGATCTGCCTCTCGTTTAGACACAGGGTGTGGGCGATCTCTATGCGCCTGCGGCGGCTCAGGTACCGGTTGAAGTGAAACTCTTTCTCCAGCTCCAGAGTCTGGTAGCGGGTGTAACTGGTCCTGGACCGCTTACCCTCCGATTCTGAAGTGGTAGTAAAATAAGTTAGCTTTCAGTAGCATTGTAGTGGTGAATAAATATAATAACAGGAAGATAATAATATTATTACTCTGGCTATCCATAAAAAGAAGTATTACAAGCAGAAAAATGTGAATTTATGTCCTCCTCCACCCTCATTTAAAAGATCAAATATCTTTGCATAACCTAATTCAACCTGATATTACTTACTGTGGATTCGTGTAATAAAAATTTATGTCAGGCTGATAAGGATGGTTAACTAGATCCAATAAATGTTCTCACTTTAAAGGAGGGGGCCTTGACACCATTTCACATTAAAACATAAAAAACTAATTTCAATATGTAAAATGAAATGAGTGATGGCGTGTTGGCCTCTCTGTAAACACTGGTCTCGACCTAATACTGCTGCTCTGGAGTCTAATATCGTGGGAGGAAAAACAGATGTGTAAAATGAAAAGAAGTGGGATTAGAAAATGGAAACTGATGCTCCCCAGATATATTATTTTCTCCTATTTATAGACTTGCTCGTGCACAGGCGTGCTAAGTAAAGCAACAGGCCTGTGCTGCTGATCTTCAAATATATATCTTTTTGAATATTCTTGTTGTGTGTGTGCGTCTGGATTTTTTTGAATGTGGAGAAACACAAAACACAAGTAGCTCCTCTCCATCTGCAGCCTAAATAGTCAGGCAGCGGTTTAAGGAGCAGGAGCAGCCCTATTCACATCTTATAGAGGTGAAAAGTTCATGATTGGGTCAGGGCATTGGTGTTTCCCAGAGTTCAATTTAAGGCTAAAGCTTCTCTCTCTCTCACACACACACATACACACACACACACACACACACACACACACACACACACTGAGAGTGTGACAATGTAAAACATGCAGTTAAACCAAGACTATAAACAAAGCAAAGCAAAAGAAACACTAATACACGGAGGCTGAATTCGTAATATTATTTCACATCACAGATTTGTTCTCTTATCCAATTATACGTCCATAAATCACGCCGCAGATCACCTCTTCACCGTAACAGAGCAGGTTTACGAGCAATGGATGCCTTTGTCATAAAATTTATGACCGCGAGTTTTTATTATTTCCTGCGTTTGGCCTATAAAACTCAAGAGGGAAAGTGGAACGGGCGAAAAGAAGTGTTGCAGCGTAAAGAGTGAATAAGAGCAAGTATCTAAGTCGCACTTCAGAAAATAGGCAAACTTTACCGTGGCTCATGTGCAGTTTTGTCATCCATGGATAGATCTGCGGCCGCGGCTCACCGTCCTGACGCTGGCTCGAGTTTGCGTGTCGTTTCGCCGATTGCGCACTCTCCGCGTTTCTTTCGCCCTCCTGGCTCTTGTTGCCGCCGGACTTTGCGCTCCTCTCCGGGTCTCTGTCCGCCCCGCGCCCCAGCAGCGCGCCGCCGTAGCCGAGCCCGCTCGCGTCCACAGCCGAGCTACCGGAGATCATGGTTATCTGTGGTCCTGACGGGAGAGGAGTATCCGCATTGCCACGCAGGCTAGTTTTCATCTCCTCCCGCTCCACAGAGGTCGTGGGGACGGGACAAGTGAATAGCCCGTTCACATTAACATCCTCATAGTGGCTGGACCTGTGCCCAGATAGATCGTAACTAAACATACTGTTTGGAGAAGTTGTCTCGCTTGTTTGCCTGAAATTGGAGCTGTCAACATACGAGCTCATGTTAAACCACCAGCGATAGTATTTGTCTTAAACTAGAGAGGGCTGCGGGATGGATGTTGCGGTTATTTCCTTGTTTTTGTTGATCATTGCTTTTCTTTGTAGCCGCTTTTGGAAAATTCAGAGCTGTCTGCTCTAAAAAAAATAATCCAGGATTTATAGGTGGAGTAGGCTTTGGTATCTTTTTTTATTCTTGATCCGACGTGCGCTGCCCAAATATGGTGTATTTGTATGGGATCACGTGCACATGTTGGCCAGTCATAAATTGGCTTTGATACTCAATGGGGATATTGATGAATAGGAGAAACGTGTCCGGTAAACTTTGAGCTGTTGGTTGTTGAGGACCAGGCAGGGATCTTTAGCGCAAAAAAGGGCAGGACAGTAAGACAAGAGCGTCATCTGGTGTCTGGTATGGGGCAGGACGGTCAGGACCGGTCCGAGCTCTCTGCCCCCCCAACACACCCCGAGTCCACTGTCAGTCACACAAAATATACATTGCTAATAAATATAACAATTCTTGTTATATAAATAATAACAAGAATTGTTATAATAATAAAAATAATGGTTTGAATGCTCACGTGTTTGAAATATATTTACGCATGAACTCGAAACGTGGATGTCGCTGAAAGTTTTTTATAGTAATACAGCTACGGGAATGTCATTGTGGATAATGCACTATTGCTCATTCCGGTGCTCCTCTAATGCCAATCATTAAGTAAAATGTCTAATATTGAAGAGCTTATTATTTGATTATAAATCACTTCATCGTCTCATTTGTCCCCAGTTTGCTTCATGATCTGAATAAAATGTACTTTCAAACCTCCCCAAACACCAACTGAGTTTGGTGCGTAATTTACGCATCCGGCACATGCTAGGTATTGTGCGGTGCGTCCAAAAATCACAATACAAACATAAAAGTTTTACAAATGTTTTATTTCATGATACACAATTATGACAAAGACATGAATTCGTAACTCCCAAACAGAAGTGAAGAATCACTAGTGTACAAATCTATCTCACAAGGAAATCCTATTGAGTCAAATGGTCAAAATAAAGGGGGGCTAAGCGCAATTGTATGTTATGCTGCGTCTATCAAAGCGGCTAAATGCACATAAGTCCTCACAGGATTTACATTATATACGAGTACTTGGATTATATACAGGCATCTCAGCTGTTTGTGGTTGTGGATATTTTTTGGATTATGCGTGCAACTTTCAGGTTTTACGCCGAACACTTTTTTCTGCGCACGGTTCAAGTACTATTTTATACTGTGATCAAATGGAAGTGTCCGCCCGGTCCTCTCCTTTGATTCAGTGGAATGTGCATGTACAATACTAAGTCTGGACCAACACTGTATTTTGTGATGTGATCAAAGAGTTCACAGTGATGGATGGGGCGTGGGGGATAAATACACAATTTTTTTAATGGCGTGGGGGAAATGACATAGAAATTAATACTTCTTTTTATTTTCACAATACAAGTGTGATATTGCAATCACACAAAAAACAACTCAGCGCTCCAAGTGACACAGGGGGCATAGTGTGGCTGAAATGACTCGACTTCATAAGGCTCAACACTCCTGTGGTCAACATGAGATATAAGTGGGAGAGCTGCGGGGAAGCCATCATGCAGTGACGCCGCTCTCAAGTCTATTTTTTAGGTAGTTATGTTGGGTTTTCATGGTCATCAGGTTTCCTCCTCTTCCTAATTTTTTTTAAAAACTATTCTTTCTTCTTGTCCTCATCCTTCCCTTCTTCAATTGCGCCACTGCTTTCCTCCTCCTGAGAGGCTCCTGTCTGTTCACTTCCAGTCACCGTGGAGGTCAGGTTGCTCTCTTTCTTCCACTTCATGCGTCGGTTCTGGAACCAGATTTTGATCTGCCGCTCCGTTAGACAGAGCGCATTGGCGATTTCGATGCGTCTGCGCCTGGTCAGGTAGCGGTTGAAATGAAACTCCTTCTCCAGCTCGAGTGTTTGGTAACGAGAGTATATCTGACGTCCTCTGCGTCTGTCCGTCCCGTAGCCCACTCCTGCTGGGATATAAAGTAAAGTCACTCATCTCTCCCATCCCATGGACACATTTAAAAAATAAAAATAAACATGCTTCTTTCTGTTAAAAGTTAAACATAAGTTTTGTCACACTGTTGGCTGCATAACTTTAATCCAAATAAAAACAAACACATTTCTAGCTATAAAACAAATCCCTGCCTCAAAGGGCATCTTTGCTTTATTATCTAAAATAACTAAAGCATCCTGGTGTGTCCTCTCTGCCTCTCGCTACTGATTATAGCTACTATATCATTCTTAAAATGAAAGCTGTTTGTTTGCACATGTAAAGGCCCATCTACAAGTCGGGGGAATACAGTAATGTTTTATGGGGTCATAAAAAGTAACTTACTCTCTTGGTAAGACATATCGTAAAACTGGCCCATTCGCTTAATTTATTTGTCGTAGTAAAACTCACCGCCGTGTGAGTTCATTCGCTGCATCCACGGGTAGATCGGGATGTTGCTTTTCTGCTCCTGCGATCCTGCTCTCCCTTGATCCAAACTGTACTCTTGAGCAATGTGGCTTTGTGTGTTGAGTCCCATGTTTGTTTGTCTGCAGCTGGGCAGCACGTCCTTGTCTTGAAGAAACACGTTTGATCCATATTCATACTGTGCCCTGCCAGAGCCAAACACCACGTTGTCTTGAGGGGAGTAGAAAGGTGTATATATCCGATTCTGGGTCACAGCGGCGCCGTACGACGAAAAATGCCTGACTGTGTCATAGGTGGTGGAGTTCAGGGGTACGTTAGGCAAAACATCTTGACCACCGGATAAATGGCAGGAGAGCGACGGGTTTGCGAAATAAGAATTCATACCTTGCTTGTAACCCTCTCTCCAACTCTCCCCACTTCTTGATCGGTCTCTTTTTTCAATCTCCTCCTCAGTAAATCTCCTTGCCGTCTCTGTCAAACAACCACACCTTTCTCCAAGGTCCCTTTCTTTTTCTTCGACTTTCCGCCTTCCCGACTGGACGTGGGCTACTTTGAGGATTCAATATTATTAATTTCCAATCTCCGGTTAAGACGCACAAACCCGAGTGTTATAGCCGAGGCTTGGCTCGGTGAGAGACAATATGACAATGTCAGCTGACCGTTCTCCACCAATTGAGAGGCAGGAGTTGAGGAGAAACTGTAGCTTTTAGCTCAGAGCTTGAACATGCTGCTAAATGCCGATAAACACGGCGCAGATTTTTGGAGTGGCGCACGGTGCAGCTTGGCCGTTTGAGAAATAGCTGGAGACGAAGTTTGAGAGATGTTTTTAAGCAGGAAGTGCGACGCGGAGTGTGGCCAATGTCATTCAGTGCAGTGATCAGTCAGAGGCAGGCGCACAAATACACATCAACCCATGTACAAATGTGTCGTACAGGGTTGATTGGGTTTACATCATTTTACTGAGGTATACACAAAATCTGAGTTGTTTTATTTATTGTATGCGATCGTGTGTATGTGGATGGGGTGTGTGTGTGTGTGTGTGTGTGTGTGTGTGTGTGTGTGTGTGTGTGTGTGTGTGTCTGTGTCTGTGTGTGTGTGTCAGAGAGAGAGAGAGAGTGTGAGTGTGTTTGTTTGTGTGTGTGTGTGAGTGTTTGTGCTAAAATAAAACAACCTCCCTCACTTTTAATTTCACAACACCACTGCAGAGACCTACACCATCCACATGCCCTCATCCCACACGTGGACGCGCATGCAGCCTCTTGCATGCATTAGGGGACTAAAAATGAATATTTGTTGTTTACCTCAGCCCATATCGACGAGTTTTCCAACACAACTGTTAATGTTTCCATTGTGTATGAATTATCTGGCATGTGAGCAATTTCCATTGCTTTTGCAGTGAACCCCGGGGKGGGGGGTTGGGGAGGAGTGTAGGTGGTTAAGAATGCGTTTATGGTCTCTGTTCCGTGAGGGCAATAAAACAAGTGACGCTCCCCAGCTCACCAACAACTATCTCTGCTGCAGAGCCCTGCAACACACAGGCAGCAAACCTTCCCCCAAGCTCAGAAGTGAGAGCACTGCACAGCATGTGGAAAATCGTGTATGCAATATGTATCGACTAAAGCCAGTGAGCCCGAGAAGATCATTTTTCTGCCACTCTCTCGAAAAAAATATCCAGTGAGTTATGCGACTGTCCAGCCACACGCCAGACAAAATCCTCCACAGGTCAAGTCAACTGTGGCCGGTGTTCACTGTGAGCTCAGGTACAGTCTCTTTAAATCATAACAGTACTTGATATTGTTACTCGCAGAAACTAAGCGTTGAATTACAGTGAAAAAAGTGACGTCTACAAATGCTTATGCAGATGTTCAAGTCCTTTTCCCCCCTGTTCTGATCACACTTTGACATTCCTCTTACACACAGAGGAAAGAGGAACCGATCATTATCTCAGCAGCAAATGATGGGGTTGGAAATTACCTAAGAATTTTCTTTTTAGCAAATCTTACGTATGAGTGAAATGTGCCGCGTAAAAGAAAATCCACATAAATATTATTATAGAAGACAGCGCCCCTCAATATCATTTCTCATAATCGACATAATTATAGGAATTTTTCCACAATTCAGGAAAGCGCATTTTTACGCAAATTCTCAATTTTTATTTTGAGAAATTCTGACGCGTTCCAACTACCTGCTCAACAGTGGGCACACATTAATTTATAACTATAAAATTAACATTGTCCTGGCTTTTCGAGAGAGGCCATAATGGAAGCCAATGGGATAATCAATACAGTTATTGAAAATGTCTGTTTCAAACGCAGTCGTCGTGGCTCCAGCAGCCTATTGGTCCACCTCATTGATTTCTTCAATAGGGTGAATACTCGCAGCCTAAACGTGCAGCACTGTTTGGTCTGCTGTTTGGAATCCTGAATAGCCCATAAAACAGACAAGAACAAAGAGGAGGAAGTCGCCGGTGCAATAAAAGTTTCCCTTCAGCTTATTCGTGGCCATATGTGACATCCGCGACGTGCAAATTTGGGGGAAATAAAAGCGCAAAAGTTGGAGGCTGCACCGTCCGTCTGCTGCTGTTCCATTTATCCTCTTCATTCTGATATTAAGTTACGAAACAGTCGACGACAGATTTATTAAAATACAGTTACAGCTAATTAGATTAATGTAATTACCAGGCAGAGAGGGAACACACTCAGCACAAACATGTTATAAAAGTGAAAATGTGAGTTTATCTACAACACGAACGATAGATATTTAAAATCAAACCATATAAATACAGCACACACTGTGATAATTTAAATTTGATGTCTAGTGGGGAGTCTAACTTTAATAATTTGTCATACTCACAATGTCAGAGACAATTTGTAAAAGTCTGTAGCAATTTCTGTTGTTATCGCCTGATCACCATCCACAGATAATAATATAAATTCTAAAATTACACATTACATTCAGTGCGTTTTTTTTCTTTCTAGTAATATCAATTAAAAATAATTTCGGTTTCACACAGTTTCTCTTCAGGCTAATTGTCATTCACAGACTTCCCCCAACCCCACAAAAACACGCCGCTCCATAAAGTCCAGGTTGTAAATAAAGGCTGAACAGTAAAGCCAATGTGTGGACTGGAGGGGACTGGAATGCAGCGGAGGTTTTGCCAGGGTGCAGAATTAGAAAGGTCATTCTTCCCCTCGTGTTTTACTGCTTTATTGCGGCCCGTGAGGCAAATCACATGCGCAGCTTTTGACGCAGGAGGCGGTGGAGCCGTTTGGTCCACGTCTCCACCACGATCCTCCAAACAGAGAAAGAGACGGTCCGAGAGGAAAATATAAATGATTGACAATAGCCTGTTATTAGGTAGTAACCGGTTATATTAATAAGCAGCATTAAATATGTTTTAATTTGTGAGTGCGTAATGCAGCCTTTAGAAAAAATACGGTACGCATGGATTATCATTATTATTGTTGTTATTATTATTAACGTTATTATTATTAACGTTATTATTAGCATAATTATTCTTATAGATCACGCGGCCACAAATTTACATTCAGTTTCTCTGCTCAAGGCCCGAGTCTGGCAGCCCTGCAGCACAACAGGGCCCATCCTCTACCATGAACCTTTTCTCTTTACGCATGCACACATCCACCACCACAACATCCCTCAGTATTAGTGATACGGGACGTGTAAAATTTCGACATTATCAGCCAAGATTAAAAACACAGCGAGGAAGCCAGACTCTGCTCAGCCCCTCATGCTTTCTCTCCCCCGCCTCTAAACCTTACTAATAAGGAGTAATTCACATACTAACAATGTAAAGCCCTCTATAAGCACTTTACCATCGCTGGCCGGCCCAATTAATGTCCGGAAGTGTTCGACTTTATGCTCGTTAAGCACTCAGGAAGCTGTTGCCCAATGAGCGCATGTTGATCCACACATCATAAATTATGACCATTAGTGGGCAAAAAATTTTGTGCTGTCGGGATTAGTAAGTGAGGTTCTGAATGTGGTGATGCGGACAGATTCATGACTTCATGGAGTTTTATGTGAGCCCATCTCTGCTTTTAAAAACACTGTGGGGCAACACAACACAATAGACTGTGCTCTTCAACTCTTATTTTAAACCAAATGTACCTAACGACCCAAATGGCATGGATCTAATGGGCTCTCTCTCCTTTTCTCTCTCTCTCTCTCTGCAGGCAGATATATATGTTGGGCATCTGCGGACACGATCCATTGCAGCAACAATGTTTCACGAGGGAAAAGCAAACTATGTGTGTAATAGTAGGTTATCAGACTTTAAAATGTTTTCAGCACGAGGCTGTGCCAATCACTGTTTGACAAGACTGAGACACAGGGCTGCTGAGATGTAGCAGAAACACACAGCTCCACCACCATGGTACCACAAAATGTGTGTGTGTATATATATATATATATATATATATCTGCACACACAATATTACAACACTGCTAAGATGCAGCAGAAACACACAACTCCACGATCAAAACACAAACTATAACTGCAAACACAATAATACAACAAAGAGGCAGCATTACATTGTCAACAGATCACATTGCAATATACACACACCTTTGTTTTGTGATGCAATGAAGGCCTCAATTGTTAATACTGTGTCTCACACACGTCTGTACATCTGTCTTAGTGAGGACATTCATTGGCATAATCCATTCCCTAGTCACTTACCTTACCATTAAAACTAATTACCTAACCCTAAACCTATCTCGAACCCTAAAACCCAGTCTTAACCCTCAAACAGCTCATTAAAAGTGGGTCAGAAAGTGAGGCCGGCCAAAATGTCCTCACTTTCCCAAAATGTCCTCACTCTGTAGGCTCAGAGATACACAAGTACACACACAACCACACACACAACCACACACACACAGCCTGAGTGAGATTCTTTTTTGTGAATGATTGATGAATGAAATGATTTGATCACATCTTGGCAAACATCATCTGGTTGTTCTCGTGGTGTAAATAAAATCACATGCTAACTCCTCACACTGTCGTCAGTGATTATGTCACACAGCCATTATCTCACTGCATCTCATTAGAGCAGCAATCGAATAATAAAAAAACAAACAATGTAGCACAACGACAAATCTTTTCCTTCTCCAAAAGTGACAAACAACAAATCAGACACACACAAACACTCCCTGCTGGCAGCGGTGGATGAGCCGGGTCAGCTGACATCCGCAGTGAACCGCCGCCGAAAACCAGCAGCCATAAACAACAAGCCTCAACACCCACCCACTTCCACATGGGGCGCTGCTGGTCGCTAGGGGGCACTGCACAGAGCTGAGTGTGAATATAATACCCCATATTGAAGTGTCTGTGTGTGTGTCCGCGTGCATGAGACATATGTGCGCGCGCGTGCAGCTGCATATAGATGTTATTGAGCTTCTTGGCACACTCTGGATGTAACAGGTGACAACAAGCATAAGAACAAGAAATGGGCTAATTAGAGCAGATCAGTCAGCTCGGGACGTCATTTGTCACTGCCTGGTCAGAAGGGCCTATGAGTGATGAGGAAGTTTACTATCAGTGAGCAATTCATTACAACTAGCTGGCACAGCATCTGTAAAATGCTCAGCTAATGTGGACTGAAGTAGAAGAGGATATAGACTCGCAGGGGTGGTGGGTTATTGGCTCCATAAAGCCACAGAGGCGCAGTGACAGTGGCTGTGCGCACCAGCAGCTTCCCAGGCTACAGGTCAGGTCACAGCTACGCAGGGAGGAAAAAAAGACGCCTCCGCCTTCTCATGATCTCACACACTCTCCTCTGCATCACGCATCAAATCCAAGCCAGAAATCTGCGGCCGATTGCCAAACACACGAACACATTGAGCTAGAGCCATAGACAAATGTGTAATCTTACCTCAGCGGGCTGTACGTGTAGTTTGCTGAGTCTCTGTGGTCCAACGCAGCAGCTGAGGGGTCAAGATGGCGAGTAGGGGGGAATATCAATACAGCGCACATCTCCCGTGCGCTGTTGGCTGTCCTCACGTCTCGGCGATGAGGAGCTTATGGAGGCAGGGTGTCTGTTTACCGGGGAAAGTCTCTTTTTTGTTCTCCAGCAGGCTCGATTGCTCCTTTCCCCCCTTCCCAGTCGTGGCTTTATTGCCTCCGGGGGGGATAGACGCAGGCGGCGGATGGTAGAAGCGGCGACTGTCCCGAAGATCCCGTCTGTCAGGAAGTCGGAAAACGGATGAATATCACTCGGAGTAGAGCCAGAGAGACAGTGCAGCGTTTTTATATTCGATTAAAGGAGAAAAAACAGGTTTCTACGCCCAAGCTTGGTCTGCTGCTGATACAAGGGAAGGACTAGAGAATAGACAACAGCATAAAGTTCATGTTCATAGAGCGTGCGCCACGTGGCTCGCCGCAGCCAATCGCAGGAAGGATTCAGTCGTAAACTTTTATTACTCAGCTGTAAATTTCTCCCTTTAACAACCAGGAATGTTTGCACCCATCTCTCTCCTTTTCCTATTTTCCCACAATGTGACAAAACTAAAATTGGCCACAAGATATGGAAATGACGGAAATTTCCCCCATATGCCACAAATTAGACGTGCGTCAGAGAGATATGACAGTCTCTCCCTCTTTGGTGGACAGGCTGTGTGCCAACATGTAGGTGCCCGAGCCAACGGGAAATGGGAAATAAAAGTGTGTGAGTAGGAAGGAGAGGGAGGGGAGAGCGGGAAAGCGACATGGAGACAGAGAGGTCTTATTAAACTTAGATCAGGCTGAACTATACTTCCAAATGAGGGCCTCTGTCTCATTGGCTGACACAGAGGATGGATTACAAGACAGTTATCAAATGTCACTGCTCCACACATCCAGCATCTTCTAAACTACAAGTTTCATGATGCACAGACAGTCAAAATGATGTCCTTTTTTTTTTTGCTACAACCCATCGCATTTTTCCTTCAAACTGGAAAAGCAGGTAAAGTGAAGATGGAGCCTGCAGTGAACAACCGCAACACATCAGCTGTCAAACCTCATGACAAAGGGAAAAATATTACTGCCACACTGTAAATTTGGTTCTGACTTTCAACAGGTTTAGTAAAGAAAATATATATTTACCTTAGGAGAACATGGACATGCACTTTTCATGTGAGATATATGGAGAACACGAGGCAACCACTGGGTTTATGGGATGCTCATTTCGCCTTCTGCAAAATTACAGCATCGAAATACATGGAAAATACGAGGATTCAGGATGAACAACACAGGATACATCATTTCATTTGAGCTCAACGCGCAGGTTTGATCTCGCAAATGACTCAGATCAAAGACCTCTAGCTTTTCTGATATATAAAAAATAGATTATACAACGAATGAAATAAAGAATCAGAATGAATCTATGTTACGTACTTGGATGAGCGGTGCATCTTTTCCTTGCAGGCCGTGATCTCCACACTGAGCCTTGGCTATACACACAGAGAGAAAAAGATGTGGACCCATCCTTTACACCGCCAATAAAGTTTACAGCGGGTCCACTAAACTTTATTGGCAATGTCAACCCTATGGTAAAAGTACACAAACGCAGGCACACACACAGACACATACAAAGGGCCCCGAAATCCGTGGCACAGAATTGCTTCGACTTGGGGGGGCACACATCCGGAAATGTTCTAAAGAAGACACGCATGCAAACAGAGGAAAAGGGCCTGGGTGAGGAGGATGCGCTTTGAAGCAACATTGATTCATTCAGGGGAAAAATAAAGCAAAATCAGACAGAGAGGGGAACGACGCTGAAGTGAGAATCTGCAAACCCCCATTTGCCTCTGTTGTATTAATTCTGCACTATTCACGTTTTGTATCAAGGTGAACTTCTGAATTAAAAATAAATGTTATGAAAATCACATACATCCTGTAACTCTGTGCCTTCGATGGGACTCTATTCATTAGACGTGTTGAATTTTACCAATCAAACACAAGAAATGTTGTTCTCAGTTGTTGCTCATGTTTTTCTCCACAGGTTAGTTTTACTGGGGTTGAACGTAAATAAAAAAATATTAAATGAAGAAACAGCTGCAGCTCCTTTCTTTTTCATCTGTCTTTTAAAAAAATTAATTAACATAAGTCTGAATTTTCCAAATCCCACTATCCACCTGCTCAATTAAAAATAAAATAAACTCATTCAATTTGAATTTAAAGATAGACCTATCATATATTCCTCTGACGCCCACATCTGATACTAGTCTCCACCGTTTAAGTATTTACACACACAGTGTCTGACATACACACCAAAAGGATCACTTCAGCTTAATAGTTAATAGGCTCAAATAGTTTAGTATGATAATAGGCCTACCTGGGCAGATTAAAAAAAAAGCAGGGAGACCTGACGCACCAGGAGCTTTAAATAATTTAGATGCTTGAGACTGACTCCAACCACAGGGAGAGACGACAGCAGCAATTAGTTGCTAAGTAGCACTAATAAATTTATATAAGAAAGTCAAATTAAAAAAAGGGAAAGTCAGCAGCAGTAACACAGCGGTGTGTCTGGGCCTTCATTTTTAAAAATGCAGCTCTGGAATACATGTGAAATTGTGCTTCAAACATTAGGTGGAGGGTAGGTCAGATTACACGTTTTGAAAAAGGGGGATCGGATGTCTATGAATATAATCGAGCAGGTCCTGGTGTTTGAGCAGATGTAACAACACTTGAAGTGACCTGGATTGATGTATTTGAGACACGTTGCTGTGCAAAAATAAACGTGGCTCTCGGTTTTACGGGGGCTGCTGCTCATATATGAGTTGAGTTTTAAGCGGTGACCATAAACACAGCAGGAGGAGAAGATGGGACTCAAGGTGTTATACCTGCACTTGGCCTCTCACTCGCTTTGATTCCAGAGGTTCCGTCTGGACGCAACACCTCCGGCGCTCAAAGCCTCCCCCATGCTTTGCCATTATTTAGTCTGATGATGAACATAACACGCCAGCAGATGTTTGTTAATCTCTTCTCAAACTGCCATCATTCATCCCAAGATTCATTAAGAAAAGCTTGGCGTCCTCCCTGAAGAGAGGAAGTTTGTTTTTTATATTTTATTAAGAAGATGAATCAAATACGATCCAGGCTTTGGAAAGGGCGCATGCTGTGACCGGGACCCACAGCCTCTCCTTAAAAGGTAAAGGGATACGTGCGCAAAGGCAAGTCTGGCGTTTATTTAATCGATTGAGTTGCAAAGTTTAAATTATGCAAACTTCAAAGAATGGGCGATTAAATAAGCTCCAGCATTCCTCTTCCCTCCTGCCACCGCCTGTTAAACATTTTGCGCACATGGCCTGGAAATTAAAGCATCATCAAAACACCAGCATTGGTGCATTTCCAGTCCAAGTTGAAGGGTTCATTATTTGTTCCAAATGACCTCTGGAAATGTTATGATATGAAAACTGAGGGTTATATATTGAGCCCTGGTGGTTTCTATTGCATCTAAAAGTCTGGATCTTAGAGAGAAAAACTGAATTGGCAAATCAATAAAAAAAAATTGTGGACTATTGGTTTTTCACTTTACGTATGCATGCTCTTATTTTGATGTGTGTTTTGGGTGGAAGGTGGGAGTAGCTACAGTATAACCGAGGCGGTAATATCAATAAAAAAAACAGAAATGACTGTGAGCCATCTTGTTTATTCGTGATTTTACATCAACAATGGCGGGGGACACACAAATCCGTCTTTCACAGGAGAAACACCAGGAAACGAGCATATTGTTCACATCAATATATAACAAGACGTACATAAAGATTATATTCAGTGCAAAACAACTACGCTATATCACCAGCACATTAAAATAAAAATTCCCTTACTTTTTTTGTTTAATCGTTGTAATTGTAGCAGGTATTATCATACACAGTAAAATGTGCGTTATAGGCAGTTTTAGTTGTTGGGGAAATAGCTTGCGATCAGATCAGAGCGATGCCATGTAAGTGTGGAATATAAATTCTGCAAAGGCAAGGCTCTGAGTTTAGGTAGTGCCGTGGTACAATCTCTAACTTGTTCGCTTGGCTTTGAGCTATAATTGTCTTCCCAAGACTCACAAATTGTCTTCAAACAAGTGTATATTGTAATATTGGGTAAATGCTACATACATAACTTAATATAAGGTTTTTGATATAGAACACTTTCAAAATTAAAACCATATGAAATCTCTTATATTCAGAAATCTCTATTGCAATTTCCCCAGGTTTTAGGTAGCATCAAAGGATTTCAAACGATTGCATTTCCCTGGTATATCCTAGAAAACAAGAAGATGTCTGAGGAGCTATAATGGCTATCTTTGTCTAGGCCATTCACATGAAGACGAGTAAAACAGTTTACAGTAACAATTAGAAGAATAAAACGTGTGGGGTTATACACAGGCTGGGAGCCAATGTAACTGCTGCGATGATGATGATGATGATGTCTGAACACTCACTACTAAGTTATAGGCCTACATTGGTTACTCTGACTGAAATGATGTTCTTATTTTTTTGAATGTAGGCTATCTATTTACAACACAGGTCGGCGTTGGTCATGTCTTTGATCTTATTGGCTAGGCTTTTGATGTTGTTATTATTAAAAAGCAAATTTGTGAGAGTAAAAAACAAATAATAGTTATAATAATAATAATAATAATAATAAGAGCTAAGCCATTTTCCATCTAACATGCGTTTTAGATTTATTCCCCCTTCTTCTACGACAAAAAAACAAAATGCTACAAGCTTGTGTAGCTTCTACAAAATGTCAAACGGAAATGCGATGTTGGGAGAATCGTGAGAAGGGAGAATTTTGTCTATTTATGACAGCAATATTGGTGGGATTCCTGTTCCCTCTTGACAAAATGAAAGGGTGGTCATAAAGTTGACGCTCTCTGCCTCCTTGTGACTCTTCCTCTGTTTATGGGACCTCTCTCTCTCTCTTTTTCTTCCTTTTTTCAGCCATATAACCATAAAAAAGGACCATAAAATCACTCCTTGGTCTCTTCTTTCTCTTCCGCTTCTTTCTCCTCGGCCTCTTCCCCTTCACCGTCCTCGTTGCCCTCCTCCTCGCCCTCGGCTTCGGCCTCTCCCCTCTGACCCGGAAACTTGTCTTTGTTGTTCTCTTTTTTCCACTTCATCCTCCTGTTCTGAAACCAAATCTTCACCTGCCGCTCGGTGAGGCTCAGGGCGTGGGACACCTCGATCCTCCGCTTGCGGGTCAGGTAAGGGTTGAAGAGAAACTCCTTCTCCAGTTCAAGAGTTTGGTAGCGACTGTAGGTTTGCCTCCCGTTCCGTCTTCCTGGGGCTTGAATGAAATAAAGCCAGAAGTTAGCTGGACGGTTCCCCAATTTCAAAAAAATAAAATCATGCATTAATTCTGCATATTTTATTTTCCATCAGCATGAATAGGCGACTAATCCTGGCGTTCAGCCCACAGCAGCTCATTTCCACTCATACAGACGGTTGGGAAGCTTTATTTAAATGTTGTGTACATTATCAGTGAGATGTATTTGCTCTTGGGGGACATTTCAAATAAAAATCTTATAGTTAGTATTAATGGTAATTTTCACTCATGTTTGTGCCATTTACAGTTGTGTGTGCTGGAGTGATCAGCTGTCTGATGCAACTTTAACGTCCACTTCAAGTGTTCCTATAGGTGAGTATGAGAAGACGGTGTATTTTTATTTTTTTAAAGAGTGGGGCTATAATTA